CAGAGAGAGAGAGAGAGAGATTAAAGATGCAAGACAGTTGAAATAATGAGACTGAGCTATGCCAGAAGAGGCACTAAGAATGGGATGGGAATCCTAGGTTTGGGGCAAGAAGTCTTTACCAAATAAGGAAGAAAAGATGTTACTCGTATCATCATTTAAACAGTGAAAAATTGTGAATAACTTAAATATGATACAAAGCATAGATACAAACATAACTACTTGAATGAAAAGATAGAACAGTGTTAAATATTATGCCATTTATGTTTAAAATAAATACATTGTGTTTATATATTAAACAAACTGGACCCTTTTACAATATGTAATTTTTATTTTATTTTTTAAGTCACAATATGTGTTTTGTATACAATGAAACAAATAATACAATTGCATTATTTAAAATTCCCACCATGCTACCTGTATCGGATATATTGGTATACTCAATATTAAGCTCTAAATATAAAGATCAAAACAAAAGAATGAATACAGACATAGACCTTAACACCTTTCACAAAAAGTTAACTCTGGGCGCCTGGGTGGCTCAGATGGTTGAGCGTCTGCCTTCGGCTCAGGTCATGATCCCAGGGTCCTGGGATCGAGTCCCGCATCGGACTCCTTGTTAAGCAGGGAGTCTGCTTCTCCCTCTCCCTCTGCCTTTCCCCCTGCTTCTTCTCTCTCTGTCTCTCCCACAAATGAATAAATAAAAATCTTTATAAAAAAAAAAGTTAACTCAAAATGATGATAGACTTAAAGCAAAATGCAAAACTCTGGTTAATAACATATGAAAGGCGTGCCTGGGTGGTTCAGTGGTTCGGCATCCGACTTTAGGTCAGGTCATGACGTCAGGGTCCTGGGATCTGGTTCCGCCTTGGGCTTCCCACTCAGCAAGGTATCTGCTTGTCCCTCTGCCCTTCCCACCACCCCCCCCCAACTTGTGTGCAAGGGCACTTGCATTCTCTCGCCTCAAAAGAATAAATAAAATCTTAAAAACAATAACAGAGGGGAAAGTTTAGGTGAGCTTGGGTTTGCTGGTGATTTCTGAGATACACACTAAAAGCACAATCCAGGAAAAAAAAATAATAACTGTAAGTTGAATATCATTAAAATTACAAACTTCTACCATAGACTGGAAGAAATAATTTGTAAAACATATCTGATAAAGGGCTTATATCTAAAATATACAAAGAATTCTTTAAAAAAAGATTTTATTCATTTATTTGACAGAGAGAGAGAGTGCACAGCAGTACAGCAGAGGGAGAGGGAGAAGCAGCCTCCCAGCTGAGCAGGGAGCCTGATGTGGGGCTCGATCCCTGGGATCAGGATCAGAGCCGAAGGCAGCCGCTTGACCAAGTGAGCCACCCAGATGCCCTATATAAAGAACACTTAAGGGGCGCCTGGGTGGCTCAGTTGGTCAAGTGGCTGCCTTCGGCTCCGGTCATGATCCCGGGGTCCTGGAATCGAGCCCCACGGTGGGCTCCCTGCTTGGCGGAATCCTGCTTCTCCCTCTGCCTCTGCCAGCCACTCTATCTGTGCTCTCTCTATGTCTCTGTCAAATAAATAAATAAAATCTTGAAAAAAAAAAAACACTTAAAACTCACCAAGAGGGGCACCTGGGTGGCTCAGTTGGTTAAGCATCCGACTCTTGCTTTGCATTCAGATCATGATCTCAGGGTCTTTTTTTTTTTTTTTTTAAGATTCTATTTATTTATTTATTTATTTGAGAGGGAGAGCACATGAGAAGGGGGAGGGTCAGAAGGAGAAGCAGACTCCCTGCCAAGCAAGGAGCCCAATGCGGACTCGATCCCCGGGACTCCAGGATCATGACCTGAGCTGAAGGCAGTCGCTCAACCAACTAAGCCACCCAGGTGCCCATGATCTCAGGGTCTTGAGATCAAGCCTGGAGTTGGTCTCTGCACTCAGCAGGGAGTCCGCTTAAAAATCTTCTCCCTCTCCCTCTGCCCCTACCCCCTGCTCTCTCTCTCTCTGCCTCTCTCAAATAAACAAGTCTTTAAAAAAAAAAAAAAAGTCACCAGTAAGAAAATAAATAACCCAGTTTAAAAATGGGCAAAAGCTTTGAACAGACATCTCAACAAAGAAGATATATAGATTTCAAATAAGGATATAAAGAGATGCTCACTATCATGCCATTAGGTAATTGCAAATTAAAACGTGTTATCACTATACATCTATTAAAATGGCTAACATCCAAAACACTAACATCATCAAATACTGTCAAGGATGTGAAGCAACAGGAACTCTGCAAAATGGTATAGCCACTTGGAATACAGTCTTGTGTTCCTTCCAGAGTTAAACATAGGCCTGCCATACGATCCAACAATTGTTCTCCTAAGTATTTACCCAAATGAGCCAAACACTTATACCCACACAAAAATCAACCTACAAATGTTTATCACCCCCTTTTTCACAATGCCAAAACTTGGAAGCAACCAAGATGTGTGTTAAACATATAGGTAGCTCAGATTTTTAAGTGTGCATACATTTTTAAACAATAATCAGAAAATTAAAATCATTTAGACAAATTTTTCTTTTAAACTTATAACATGCATAAACATTCTAAATATTTTAATCAGATAATAATGCATCAGTTGGACTGTGTTAGGAAAGAAGTATAAATCCTACATTTTTTCTCTCACATAAAAATCCAGACCCTGCCCTCATCCAAGAAGGCTCCTTCCTGCTCACCACTTAGCTATCCCTACAGTGTAGCCCTTCTCCTCACAGATGGCTCCAGCCAACTACATTCTGGTCAGCAAGATAGAGGAAGGGATGAAAAGCTGAAGGACAGGGGCACCTGGGTGGCTCAGATGGTTGGGCATCTGCCTTTGGCTCGGGTCGTGATCCCAGGGTCCTGGGATCGAGTCCCGCATCGGGCTCCCTGCTCCTTGGGAGCCTGCTTCTCCCTCTGCCTCTCTCTGTCTCTCATGAATAAATAAATAAAAAAAAAAGAAAAGCTGAAGGACAATAAACAACTGCCTTTTTAAAATTTTAATTCTAATATAGTTGACATACAGTGTTCTATTAGTTTCAGGTGTACAATATAGTGATTCAACAACTCTGTATATTACTAGGTGCTCATCATGATAAGTGTGCTCTTAATTCCCTTCACCTATGTCACCCATCCCCCCACCTCCCCTCTAGTAGCCATCAGTTTGTTTCCTGTATTTAAGAGTCTGTTTGCCTCTTTTTTTCTTTGTTCTTTGGTTTTGCTTCTCAGATTCCACATGAGTGAAATCATATGGTATTTGTCTTTCTCTGACTTATTTCACTTAGCATTACACTCTCTAGATTAATCCATGTTGTTGCAAAGGGCAAGATTTCATTCTTTTTTATGAATGAGTAATATTCCACTGCATATATGTATATATACCACATCTTCTTTATCCATTCATCTATGGATGGACACTTGGGTTGCTTCCCTAACTTGGCTATTGCAAATAAAATGCTGCAATAAACATAAGGGTGCATATATCCTTTTGAATTAGTGTTCTTGCATTCTTTAGGTAAATAGTAGAATTGCTGGACATATAATAATTGTTTTCAATTTTTTGAGGAACTTCCATACCATTCCCCACAGCAGCTACACCAGTTTTCATTCCCACCAACAGTGCACGAGGGTTCCTTTTTCTCCACATACTTGCCAGCACCTGTTATTTCTTCTTTTTTTTTACTTAAATTCAATTTAATTAACTTACGTGCATTATTAGTTTCAGAGGTAGAATTTAATGATTCATCAGTTGCATATAACACCCAGTGTTCATTACATCAAAGGCCCTCCTTAATGCCCATCACCCAGTTCCCCCATCCCCCCACTTTCCTTCCCTCCAGCAACCCTCAGTTTGTTTCCTAGAGTTCAGCGTCTCTTATGGTTTGTCTCCCTCTCTGTTTTCATCTTATTTTTCCTTCCCTTCCCCTATGTTCATCTGTTTTGTTTCTTAAATTCCACATGAGTGAAATCATATGATATTTGTCTTTCTCTGACTTATTTCACTTAGCACAAAACCCTCTAGTTCCATCCACATCGTTGCAAATGGCAAGATTTCATTGTTTTTGATGGCTGAGTAATATTCCATTGTGTGTGTGTGTGTATATATATATATATATATATATGTATGCATATATATATATATATATATGTGACATCTTCTTTATCCATTTATCTGTTGATAGACACCTGGGCTCTTTCCGTATTTTGCCTATTGTGGACATTGCTGCTATAAACTTTGGGGTGCATGTGCCCCTATGAATCACTATGTTTGTAGCCTTTGGATAAATACCTAGTAGTGCAATTGCTGGGTCGTAGGGTAGCTCTATTTTAACTTTTTGAGGAACATCCCTTGTCTTCCAGAGTGGCTGCATTTCTTCCCTTTTTGATTTCAGCAACTGTGACACATATGAGGTGATATCTCATTGTGATTTTGATTTGTATTTCCCTCATGATGACTGATATTGAGCATCTTTTCATGTATCTGTTGGCCATCTGTATGTCTTCTTTGGAGAAATGTCTCTTCATGTATTCTGCCCATTTTTAATCAGATTGTTTTTTGGCTGTTGAGCTAAGTTCTTTATATATTTTGGATATTAACCCTTAATCAGATATGTCATTTGCAAATATCTTCTCCCGTTCGGTAGGTTGCCTTTTAGTTTTCTTGATTGTTTCCTTTGCTGTGCAGAAGCTTTTTAGTTTGATGTAGTCCCAATAGTTTATTTTTGCTTTTGTTTCCCTTGTCTCAGGAGACACAGCTAGAAAAATGTTGCTACACCCAATGTCAGAGAAATTATGCCTGTGCTCTCTTCTAGGATTTCTATGGTTTCCGGTCTCACACTTAGGTCCTTAATCCACTCTAAGTTTGTGTTTGTGTACAGTTAAGAAAGTGGTCCAGTTTCACTCTTTTGCATGTAGCTATTTCATTTTCCCAACACCATTTGTTGAAAAAACCATCTTTTCCCCATTGCACATCCTTGCCACCTTTGTCATAGATTAATTGACCATATAATCATAGGTTTATTTCTGGCCCTTTATTCTGTTCTGTTGATCTATGCATCTATTTTTGTGCCAGTACCATATTGAAAAAAAAACAACTGCCTTTGGAGGAAAGTTTTCAGCAGCTGCCAAATGATACTGTTGCCTACATGTTATTGGCCAGGACCTGGACACGTGACCACATCTAGCTACAGTCTGGAGCTTGGCCAAGTAGACTATATTCTGTGAAGCTTTGTGCCCCGTCACAAATCAAGTTTTCTATTACTAAGGAAAAAGAAAATGAGTCTGTGCGGATAGCAAGTGGAGTCTGAACACAGACAAATTGACATGGTTGACCTCAAACTCTGACCCCTAGCAGCATAAATAACATCCTCACTCCTGAACACTTGCTCCTAAAATCTCAGAGGGCAAGAAGAGATTCTCATATCAAACACTGCAGAGAGAAGAAGGTTTCAAGTGATCCCAACGATGACCTATTCTAGGAAGAGGGTTGAAGGAACGGGGGAATGGGATAGAACAGCAGATGGGACAGAACAGGGGTCGGGATAAGGGTCAATGAGGGGTTGACTAATCAGTCATCCTAACCAGTGGCTCAGAAAAGCAGCCCTGAGACTAGGGGTCCTGCTTCTGGAAAAGAGGGGCTCAAGAGAAGTGAGGACAAAAGTAAGAAGAGGGGGGTAGTTTTGTTAGTGATGAAGAACCAACTCCTTAAAAGTTGAAAGGAATTACCTAGGCTTTAAGGCAGAAGCCAATATTCTCAAATATGTAGACAAAAAGAGCTGAGAATTTGGAAAACAGAAAGAGAAAATATCAGCCATAGGTCTGTCACCCATATGCCATTTGAACCATTTCTTTCTGGCCTTTTGTTTTCCTATGAGAGGGTTTTTTTCTTTTAAGCATAGTTACAATAAACAGACTATTTTGTACTCTTTCCCATGTAACATGAATATATGAGCATTTTTCTCATCAGGATGTTCTGTCAAGGCCATATTGTGAACTGGTTAAGGATTTGGGCCCCAAAGTGGCTCTCTTTATAGGGCTTGAGTTTATATCCTAGTATGGGCTGACCCTGAGTAAGCTGCTTAACATCACTGTGCTCATCTTCCTCATCTATAAAATGCAAGAAAAATGATGAGAGCAGTAATACCTACCTCACAGAGCTGTTTTTGAGGGGGGATTAAATGAGATAATCCATGTAATTTATGTAATGAGCTAATAACAGCTCAATGTAAGCTCTTATTATTTATAAACATAATTTTAATGGTTACATAAAATACCAATCAGTGAACATTACATCATAACCATACTCTTATTCCTGAACACTGTGTAAATTTTCAGTTTGGGGCTATTATAAGACTTGAAATATTTTACTGCATTTACACATAGAGATACATACCATTTAACACCAAGCCAAAAAATATAAAAATAAATAATTTTTTTTAAACTTTAAATGATATTTTAAATAATGACCTGCTTTTAGGTCATCCCATCAAATCTGAGAAAGAAAGGTATACATGATTAGCTGTAAAATACCACTTGAGTCCCAGACAGACAAGCAATCTCGAATTATAAAGGCACAGTTGTGCCCTGAATGTTTGCTTCCCTCACCAAATTCATAGGTTGAATTTTTGAGGTGAATATTTGAGAATAACTCTCAGTGTGATGATATTATAACTCTCAGTGTGATGATATTAGGAAACAGAGCATTTTGAGGTAATTGGGTCATGAAGGTGGAGCCATCACAAGACAGCTTGCTTCCTCTCTCTGTCCTCTGCCATGTGAGGGCCTGGTGAGAACATGGCCACCAGCAGACCCAGAGGCGGGTCCTCATCAGACACCAGACCTGCCAGAGCCTTGATCTTGGACTTCCCAGTCTCTAAAAGCACAAGAAGCAGGTGTTTCTCTAAGCCGTCCCGTCTCCGGTACTTTGTCATAGTAACCTGAACAGAGGAGGACAGCCACCCGGTCTTCACATTCAGACATTTTTTCTTGGGTACAGAAAAAAAACTGCACGTTAACTGTGGTGGTTGGCGGTATGTAAGAGTTTAAGTGTATGTTATGTTTCCTTGTTGTGGTTTTTTTAACTTTTCTATTGGAGCATGGATACCCACAGGCTCATAGACTGTGTGACTACAATCCTATCTCCGTGGCTCTGATTTACTTGATTGCACAAAGGAAGGCAACATAATCCTGAGGCACCCAACTCAACCAGTCCTTTTTCAGGTTTCAGAGCCATTTGCTTCCTAACACAGGCTTGACATGCTTTCAGCAACAGAAGCCAAAGCCTTCCGTCCAGAGGCTTTGGTTCAAACACACCCTCCTGACCCCATTCCTCACAGAGGCTCATTTCAGCACCTACGGGACCTCACCTTCCCCCACATGACACATAGACTCGTTTGAAAACTACCTCTGGCTAGTGGTGGAGACGGTAGAGCTAGGAAAGACTTTTGGCTGTTCATTTGCAAGAGAGGACAAGCTTCTTTCTCAGAGTATGCTGCAGCCAGACATAGTACCTCTCCTTAGCAGACACTCTGCTGTTCCAGTCATACACGCTGCCATTGAGTTCAATGTGGAGTTCGAGGAGCGGGCGTCTTCTGGAGGGAATGAGAAAGGCAAAAATTAATGCCATGCAAATATGAAAGAGGAGACAGATCACCGTTAGGCTGAAATGAGCCAACAGATGTGACAGCGCGTTGAAATCGTTCCTTTTTAAATGCTCTACAAGCTGCTTAGTGAGTGATCCAAACCAGCTGGCAGCACTCTGGCCCAATGACCACAGTCCCCTCACCCAAGGGGCAGCTGAGTCTTATCCTGGAGACACTCCAGCCAGATGATAACGCACCTGGATCATCTATGCAAATGCAGGCTGGATGCCAAGAATACTGCTGGCCCATGGAAGGCTGAATCATTTCTGCTACAGCCCACTCCTTGCTGCTAAGCCACGACTGAAGGGGCTCGGGGCACGGGTGTCACAGGCCTTGCGATATATTCCTGGGGTCCCCAGAGCTACAACATGCATTTCACACATGGCTCCAAAACTTCATTCTAAATTATAATGAGGGGACAACTGAAAAATGACTGCTAATCTTACATGGGAATAATCTTCTTAAATGCAAACCAGATCACCGAGGTTTCCCTTAGAAAAGTATTCTTTTTTTTTTAATAATTTTTTTAAATTTATTTGACAGAGAGACAGCGAGAGAGGGAACACAAGCAGGGGGAGTGGAAGAGGGAGAAGCAGGCTTCCCGCGGAACAGGGAGCCCGATGCGGGGCTCGATGCGGGGCTCGATCCCAGGACCCTGGGATCATGACCTGAGCTGAAGGCAGATGCTTAACGACAGAGCCACCCAGGTGCCCCTAGAAAAGTATTCTTGCCAATAAGCATCAGAAATGTCTGTATAACAAAGACTTGCAGACGTGGGGAGTCAGGTACCACTTTCCACCTCTCAAACTGTCGGGACAGGGAAATAAAAGAGCATGTGGTATCGGGCAGAATTTGGGGACACAGGCACTCTCCTGCAGAGTGGGTACAACTGTCCTAGAGGACAATATGATAAGATGCATCCAAGCCTTTAAAAATGCATGTTTGTTTAACACAGCAATTCTTCTTCTGGGAATGTTCCTCAAGAAAACAGTATGGATAAGCACGAATACTGAGCTACAAAGGTACTGAATGCTTTCCTTTTATGAAAGCAAAACACCTTTCAACAACTGAAAATGGGTCAAGTATGCCATAGCCGTATTCTAGACTGCTCCACAGACATTAAAATGATGTTGTAGACTACTGACATGTAAAATGTACGTGATATACCGTTATATCAACTAAAGGCAGATTATAAAGTAATAGTAGACGATGATTCCATTTTGGTTTAAAAAACATTTAGATATGATTGTGCAGGTATCCAAAAAAGATCTGGAAAGCAATACACCAAGATGTGGCTAACAGAGATTGATTCTAATAAGTAGGACTATAACTGCTTGTTATATTCAGCTTTCGGCATTTATATTTCATGGTTTTTGTTTTTGTTTTTGTTTTCAGTAAGGAGGATGTACTGCTTTTGTAATTAAAAAAAACAATTAAAAATTTATTTTGAAGAATAAGATCTAAACTACAAGCTGACTAGCAAGTGACCTCCTGAAGCAGAAAGCATTCATAAAATGCACCTCCTCCTAAGTCAACTCCAACACGGAATGAAAAGTCCTTTCTCCCTGAAGAGAAGAGCATCAAAGGTGACACAGTGGCCATCTCCATCTTGGTAGCAAGAAGAGAGACAAGCGGTCCAGGGATGGGCCACAGCCGACCCAGGGGGCTCACCTTTCTTTCCCCAGTTTCTGGGAGAGGCACTGCAGGTACAATGAAGGAGGGCTGGAGGGCCGTTCCAACAGGGACACATCCGCCTTGCACAGGCTCCAGAGGAAGTCCGCTTCTCGGTGAATGGTGCCTGGCCCAGGCTGCTTGGCTTTGGATTCCACATTGCTGATGGCTGGTCCATCCACCTCCAGCAAGCTGCCGTTGTCCAGCGGGTCCTCTGACACCACATAGTTCTGAATAAAAAAGAGCTTTGGCTTCCCTAAGAGAGAAGGGCATGCGTCTCCCATGAACATCCTCCTGACCTGATCCAAAGGGAAACCCGAGTGTGTCTGATCCACGCCAAACACACTGTGGGAGCCGCCTCGGCTCACCAGGACACACACAAAGCTGTCGTAGTCTTCATGTTGGGGCATGCAGGCAACTTGGCGAAGAATCTGGATGATACTGTCCATCCTCAGATACAAGAAATACTGGACTTCATAGCCCAGGGAAGTAAAGGTGTTCCGAAGAAACTCTGGATAAAATAAACAAACACACAGAGAAAACAACACTCGGGTGAGAAAAGCTTAAGAGGCACCGGGAAGCAACCCTAAGCACAGTCCGATCTCCACTACTTATCCATTTCTACTTTTGTGCCATATTTTGAGGTTTTGAAGGACCTAAGCATGCAGCAGGAAGAAATCAACCTGAAACACACGACATTTATGTCCCAGGTTCTCAGTTCCGATCTGTCCCTGCCAGAGGCTACCTCCACATCTGGCCACAGGCACAGACTGAGCCCACTTCTAGTCCAGTGCAACCAAATGGGGAACAAATTTTTTTCTCTTCCACCAAAACAAAGTTGGGGATTTTTCAAAAGGCTCTTTCTTAAACTAACACACAAATATGTAGGAAATGGATGCATCTGCAGAGCGTAGATCCAAATCTAGGTCCAAATGGCTGCAGAGAGGATGGCCCGGGTCACGTGTTCCCTCATCTCCGCAGGCTGTGGGCTGATACAGAGGCCCCTACGTCTAAGTTGTGACCATTTCCAGACTCCCCAGTTCCTCTCATGACCTGCTTCCCCGTGTTACCTCCTAGCAGAGGAATCGAAGATTCCCTGTAGTGCCCCCAAGAATTCTTCTCCTAGTTTCCAGGAATCCTGGATTGACTTTGCCTGCAGAAACAGTGGAAGGCAGTGGAAAAGGCAGAGTTTATGCCAGACAAGCCTGCCTTCTAACACTGACCTTACCACACCTGTGGGCTGCATGACCTTAAGGAAGTGGGTCTCCCTAGCTTTAAATGGAAGTGATGATACCTACCCTGTGAGCATGTTGTGAGGATTAAATGAGATAATACAAATAAAGCTCCTGGGGCTCCATTCCCTTGTTTAAAAAATCTTGTTTCCATCTTTTAGAAATTTCTATAGCCTACCTAGGCCATTTCTTTCCCATCTGCTCAGTTTGCCTTCCTCAGAGAGGACAGTCTCCTACTTTGTTATAAATCTTTCTAATAGCAGAGACAGACACATCTTTCTCTTCCTCATTAAAAATTCCACATCCCTTTGAGTAACCCATTAAGTTTCTGTTCCTTGTCTGAGGGATGCCTCCACTTCTTAGTTCATTTGCAGAGCAGAAAAATTGCTATTCCCTAAGCTAAACAGGCATCTCTAAATTCAGATTGTTACCCAAACCCTTAGCCAACTTCTCTGGATTTCTCTCCATGTCTCATGACTATGTACCCACCTCTCTTCATTCCCTGGGGTATGGTCTTCCAGAAGTCTACCACTACCACCCCAAATCAAACAATACACTAGTAATTCAAACAGATAGAACTTCTACCAAGGAACAAAAGGGTCCCATCTCACACCAGTGCAGGCATCACAGAAAGGAGAGAGAAATGATTCCGCTGAAATTACCACATAACTGTTTGCCACAAACTGTCAACTCTCTGCATTAAATGGAAACAACATGAAGTCTGACTAGTCACAAATAATTCAAAGACTCATAGCTTCAACCAACAGTTTCAGGCTTCTTGCCCTGCAAACGTTACCAACCACTAATAAACTATAAAAGCCAAAGGTAGCTATCACAATTTCTCTTCTGGCGTCTCAACAGGAACTACAAAGGGAAAGCTAGAAAAAGAAACATAGCCTTGTGTAAACAAAAAGCTGGAAAAACCAGCCACTGGACAAATAAGAGCTCTCCTGAGTGCTCTGAGTTTAATTCACCCAGCCCATAGACAGTCCCTGGATATGTTCATATTGGGTCTAGTAGAACTTCCGATTCAGGAGAGCTGGGATTAATTGTGGCCCCACATCTACCAGATATGGCAGTTTTAAATACGTCCGCAAATTCTTTGACACTCCTTCCTTAAAAAGAGTGTAATTCCTTTCCCCTTGAATGTGGACCATGTTTGGTAACTCATTTCTAATGAATACGGCAAACGGGATACTATGTGACTTCCAAAGCTAGATCATAAAAAGGATACAGCCTCTACCTGGCTCTTTCTCTGTTTTGAACAGCTCACTCTGGGGGGAGCCAGTCACCATGACATGAGAACACTCAAGCAGTCCTGCGGAGAGGCTCACACGAAGAAGAACTAAGGCCTTGCACCAACTTCACAGCCACATGAATGAGCCACCTGAGAGGATCCTTCAAGCCCAATCAAGCCTTTGGATGACCCTAGCTGAAATCTGACCACAATCTGCCAAGAGACTCGGCCAGAACAGCCCAGCTAAGCTACCCCTAAATCCCTGCTCCACAGAAACTGTGAGAGATATAAATAAATTAATGTCGTTATTTTAAGCCACTAAATTTTGGAGTGATTTGTATACATTATTAGATAAATAATTCACCAGGTAAATCAGGAAAAGGGAATGATAATGATCATTACTTAAAGATGTAGTTAGGCTACGTCCTTTTCATCTGGCCCACAGGTAAGGGTGAAAAAAAAAGAATTATATATCACATAATAATGGAGAGATATAAAGAAGGTGCTAATCTCCTGGAAACCCTATGATAAATAAATATTATGAGGGAAATGAAGGACACGATACACAGGTTGCTGGAGAAGCTAATAATAGCTCACTCATCCCCGCAGGATCTCAGTGTGGTAGAAAAAGCCCACCAGCACTGCCCCCTGGCCTTCACCTCAGCAGGTGTAGGCAAGCCTTCCATACCCAGTACTGCGCTCAGTTTGGAACACAGGACCGGACAAAGAGCATCCAGGCAAGGACCCCAGTTCATCACTACTGTTTGATTCCCAAGTCTTCGAGGACTCTCATGTCGTGGCATATTCTTTCCTCCAGGGGGCAGAAGCAAACAGGGAAACTCCAGACTCAAAGCTATTGTTTACTTCTCTCAGACTGACTCACTTCCCTCAAAACCCTCTCCTCACTGATAGATTTCCTCCCTTATCAAAGTCCTCGAAGCAAAGCCATAGTCTGTCTTTCCGAGATGGTATGCCGGGGTCAGGGACAGAACAAGGGCCGTCCCGTGCCTTTCATCTCTTTCCTTGTTCTGGGTCCCCAGTGGGTCCCGGCCAGAGTGGGGGTTGTCACACAACCCTGAGCAGGCAGCTGCGTGGCACCAGCCAAAGAGGAACCCGTCTTGGAATCACAAGATCTGAGTTTCAATCCTGGCTCCTCTACCTATCTGCTGGGTCTGAGCCTTGCCTGGTCCTGGAAAAACTAACTTATGCCAACAGAGGGGCTAGGAAGGGGATGGGAATCTGATGTCTGGGGCACGAAGTGCTTCCCTAATAGGACAGGAGAAAGAAGAATAAAGGGGAGGTGAAGCCAAAAACGTGACATGTCCCCCAAAGCCAGTAAGAACAGCAAATCTGGAGGGACCTCAGACCAAGATGGAGCCTCTGGCCGCCCAGTCACCTCAGGAGACACAGCCGGAAGTCATCAGAGTCGAGATTTCCCATAATGTCACCTCTTTTCTCTATCAGATAGGGAGGGCTGATGCTAGCTGGCCTTTGCAACTTTCTTTCTTGGGCCAGCAAGAACATGGGTATAGCCTGGTCTGATTTATAAGATCCAGGGAGTAATGACGGTGTGAGTTTGAACAAATTAACTGTCTTAGCTTATTCATCTGTAATTAATACTAATGCCTATACCATGTTCTTCAAAAGGTGCCTGTGAGGATCAGGGGAGATGTCTGTAAAGACACTTTGCAACTATGAGTGCTTACGCAAATGTCAGATATTAATTTTAAAGAAAATAAAGGCAGGGACGCCTGGGTGGCTCAGTCGGTTAAGCGTCTGCCTTCAGCTCAGGTTGAGATCTCGGGGTCCTGCGATCGAGCCCCGCAGCATCAGGCTCCCTGCTCGGCGGGACGCCTGCTTCTCCCTCTGCCCCTCCCCCTGCTTGTGTTCCCTCTCTCGCTGTGTCTCTCTCTGTCAAATAAATAAATAAAATCTTGAAAAGAAAGGCAGCCATTTCACCACAAATCATGGAGCCTGCCACGCATCTCTCTCATGGAAGCTTCTCCTTAGAAGGGACCTCCACAAGGAAGTGTCTCTAGCCTACATCAAGATGGGCTGGGAGCAGTCAGATTCTGTGTCCCATTTATCAAGGAACTGCCTTGTCATTTCCCTCGAATAGGGGAAGAAAAACTTGGATGCCGAGTTTGGAACATAAAACTTGAACGACCGCAGAAATCACACTTCTCCTTCCACGCGCCCTGCAAACCTCACTCCTGACCTAGGCCTATCTCTGTAAACCTCAACTTCCCAAAATGATGAGTTTTCATGTGGCCTTGCAGTTAGGACAAGGGCTAGGGTCAGCACCACCCACAGGTTTGGGGGTAATTGAGATGAAATCCAAAAAAACTATACACAGTAAAAAGTCATGAAGCCATTCATTTAGAATTTGTTCTCATCTAAAATGAGTTCACATTGGGGTGCCTGGTTGGTTCAGTCAGTAGAGCATGTGATCATGAGGTCAAGGCCCACCTGGGTGTAGAGATTACTTAAAAATAAAATCTGAAAATAAAATCCAATGAGTTTGCATTAATCTTGCCACAATCTATAAAAAGAAGTCCATTAAATCAATGTATAGAATAAGGAGGGAGTGTTTCATCAGTCTATTTACCACTACTTAATGAGCACCTTGTATGAGCCCAGTTCTAATTATAATAAAGCATACAAATGGGGGCACCTGTGTGGTTCAGCTGGTCAGGTCATGATCCCAGGGTCCTGGGCCCTGAGTCGGGCTCCCTGCTCAGCAGGAAACCTGCTTCTCCCTCTCCCTCTGCTGCTTCTCTCTGCTTGTGTGTGCACACGCTCTCTCTCTGACAAATAAAAAAATAAAATATTTTTTAAAAAAGGTATACAAATGGAACACAGTTGGGCAGGATATTCTTAATGAGAAGGGGAGTTCTGAAGTCAAACATAAATGTGAAATGTAACGTTAAGATTTAAATAAGCTTCTTTACAGGAGGACTCCTCGGTCTTTAAGACCAATATGCAAATCTCCAAAGGAGGAACAAACTATTCATCATTTCTCAAATTCGCTTGACCCCCAAACTCATGTTTTAAGAAGTTCCTCTCCCTATGTTAAAGAAACACTGTATTTCATGTTGGGAAATACAAATGAGGTACCTGCCCTTCAAGGAGACTATCATCTAGTTGGGGAGCTTATAAATATGCACAAAACAATGACTGGCATGTCACGCAGTACAGCGGGATTTTAGGCACAATAAGGGGTCAAAGGAGGGACCGTCAGTGCAATCTGAGACACCTGGAGATGAGACTGTAGTAGAGGTATAATTCAGGCGGGGGCCTGACAAAACAGCAGAAAGGGGAGGCCCCCCCAAGTAGGAGGATGGTCATAAACAAGGACAGAAGAATGAGTGAATTAGGAAGCGGTGGTAGAGTCAGCTTTGTGTAAGTCTGACTTCTCATTTGTTTCCACAGACCAACCAAAGGGTTTTAATGGACAACCTACATTCGCTCAAACTTACAAACTACTTTTTAGACATCTTCTTTTTAAATACAAATGGTTACTAGTAATTCCTTCTGGACTAGCTCTTCTTAGGAGAAAACAATATCAATAATAGATCTGTCTATTGCATGTCAAAGGTGCTTGTAGGGCCCCTCAGGCAGCCTCAAAGTACTCTTCCACATATCCGCAACTCCCTATCCACAATTCACAATTCAGAAACCCCAAAAGCTCTGAAAACCTTAAGTTCTTTTCCCTGATTCATTTTGTGGCAAAACCTTTCCTAAACCGATGAGAGGCTATTGATAATCTTTATTCCACTTAGTGTGAATATCCATTCATTTTGCTGTAGAAATAGTAATGTGTGGGCTCTAAGCCCTTTACAAGTGTGAATTCATTCACTTTTCCCAGCCTCCCCGAGAGGTAGGTCCTGTTATCTAACCATTTTATAGAAGAGAAATTGAGGGGGACCTGGGTGGTGCAGTCAGTTAAGTGTCCCGCTCTTGGTTTCCATTCAAGTCATGATCTCATGTGTCATGATCTCATGGGTCATGGGATCAAGTCCACAGGTCAGCCTCTGCGCTCAGGAGGGAGTCCGCTTGAAGATTTGCTCCCTCTGCCCCTCCCCCAACTTGTGTGCACACACGCGCACTCTCTCTCAAATCTTTAAAAAAATAAAAAAAGAAGAAGAAGAGAAACTGAGGCTTACAGAGGCTAGGGAAATTGTCCAAGGTCACACACGAGGACATGACAGAGCCATGATTCAAACTCACACAGTCATATTCCAGGACCCAACTCTGACCATGCTCCTATAATACAGGAATACACACAAATACACATTCAACCCTGGCACACAAGAGGCCCATAACTCAGCAAGGGAAGTAAACACAGACACTGGATTTTAGTCACAAACTCACAGCAGGTCGTGGCTTTATGATTCTCTTCATACAACAGATATACATCCTGCAGCTGGGAACTGCATGAATGAAACAAAACTGATTATAATAGAAAGTGGAAGACAAATACTCTCTTTTAAAGCAGGAAGTTACTCATTAAGGAAATATCTTCTCATTCTTATATCGGTACTAATGGCTGAGAGAGAAAAGACACTCATCTATAGCTGAGGAGACAGCCTGTCGCACATCTAACCAAAAATAGGACATGAGGAAAATGAGATCATATCTGAAGTCCTGGGAAATTCAACCTAATATTTGCTAATTTGACCTTCTCTTAGATTCTCTTCCCATACAACTCACCATGGTAACATTTTAAGTGAGCCTAAAAGACAGATCTGACTCACTCCAAGAATTCTGAAAAGCAAGAAAACTGTGGAAATGTGATGATCAACCCTTCGGAGGGAGAGATAAATAATTAAACATGTTCTTTCACAATGAGATTCTTATTCTCTCTGACGCATCACCAGTGATTGATTCAGTTTGAATAGGACATCCAGCAACAACTGAGCAAGAGAATCAGTCCAGATCCAAACAACAGTAACACACAAGTAGTACAGACTCCAGCAGACAACCCAAGGACAGGGTGGCAGAACTAAGTAACACACTGCCTCCAAGTGAACACACATTTACAATATTTTTTACTTTTTCCCCATAAAAGCTTTCATAGTCTAGCTATATGAAATGATGGGACATCTGATAACACCGAAGCCAGAAAGCCTTCCATTTTAAACCCCACTCTGGACCCCAGGACCCCTCCCTGCTGCAGCATCCAGCATGAAAAAGCAAGACCGAAGCTCCCAACTTTCAGCCAATCACACCATTGTACCAGAAACAATGCTTTGTACTCCCCAAATTCCCTTCCCTTTCCTTCCTGGCATGTAGCCAGTCTGAGTTCCTTGTCTACTGCAGTTAGGTGGGGTCCCAGGAGTGAGTTCGACCAATGGAATGTGGATGGAAATGATGCACCTCACTTTCGGGGCTGGTCCCTAAAATTTCTTGTGAGATCCTCCACGCACTTCCTTCATCCACCAGCCAGATACAGAGGATCCTGTGGAAAACCCCAAGGCTTCAGATGGTGAAGTCACTGACTGATCACATGGAACGAAGCTCACTCCAGACCAATGCACACTAGGCTGTGGCATGCGTGAGAAAGCACCCCTCGCTATGTGAAGCCATAGACTTCCGCAGAGGTTTGTTGTAACAGGTAGGGTTGATCACTGATGAACACGGCTTGTCTGGGCTCACTGTGACCTCACTGTGGGGCATCAGTTAATCCACAGCGTCCATACCTACCTGTGTCATTGCCAATGCAATCGATTATCAGGCAGATTCCTAGGGGCTTGCTCTGCATCCTGTATCTCTCTTCTGGTATGTGCTGGAAAGGAAAGCAGGGATTGTTAAAAAACTCTGGACATTGCTCTGTTTCCATAAAGTCCCACACATATACCATCTTTTCTTTTGGATTTCCTCAAACTTCCTGTTGCCAGGTGAGTCATGCAATAGACACAGCCTGAAGTCACCACAGCTGACATTTCCCATTAATTTCACATTTTTTCTCTATTTAGGTAATGTGCTGAAGACAAGCTGTCTCGGTTTTTAATTTTAATGAAAATCACAGTCTCTTTACACATGACTTAGCTCTGCAGGATGAAGACAATTTAAAGCTGAGAGAAAGGATGGGTCATGTGTTTCTACAGTAACCTGAGGTTATGCAAGTGGTATCTTTCCAAACCAGTACAAAAGGAGGCCTTCTATTGCCTCCTTATGGAGAAGGGGTTTCAACCTTTAAAAAAGAAGCCAGAGCAAGTCAAGGTTCAGTGTCACTGCTCACTAATACATTCAGCAATCACTCAGCTGAGAGGAGAGCTGCCGCCCTGGAGTATTCCCACATTCCAAAGTTCACGAATGCAATCCACATCAACATCTTTCTCTTGGCTCTATCCAAGTTCCTCCCTAGGAGAGTTCCCAGGAGAATGGCACTCTCAGCACCCTATTCTTGTCCCAGAGAATTATTAACGGACAGATATCTTAAAGAAGCCAGTGCTCTCCACAGATACTGTGCATACAGTACAATACCAAATCAGATCATTTATTCTGTACCCGCGGTAGAAATGCTCCTGATTCCTGGATGGATGCCTTCGCTGATTCTCCTGGAGGATGAGAGAGAAATCATTTACAAAGCTGAAGGAGAACAGACCACTCCCATGCTGTCTGGGTTTCTTTATTTCTCAGCTGTTTTCTTCCATTATTTTCTTCCCCTTACTATCTCTTCTTTGCTCTACTCAGCCCCACAGTTCCAACCACACACTGAAGAACCCAGCTGATAAGAAAACACAAGTCCGCCTGCTGTGCAGGGGGTAGGTAGAAAAACTGCTTAAAGAGCAAGGGAAAAAAGGCTCTCCCTTGCCCTTCTCCAGGCGAGGACCGGGTGACTTGATGAATTTTTAAATAGATACGGAGAATCCAATAACCTCACCACCCAACAGTATCGATAGCTTTCTTTCCTATGCTGAAACTGTGGGCAGCACCGAGACGGGCAGCCTTAGAGACTGCAGAGAAGGGAAAATTTACTTATATTTGTCACTGGTGCAACAGATGGCCATGTTTTCTTAGTCCAGTGATATTGAGAGGCCATAAAATAAAATGGCAATGGCAAGATAGAGGACAGTGAGCCTAGCAAATGTAGATGAGCCTAAAGCCAATAACATTAGTTAAAAATGACTTTATTAGCACAGAGAGTGGAGAAACCACCAGTTTTGAAGCCATAAACGGCTGGCTCAAACCCTAGCACCATCACCGAGGAGCTCTGTGATCTTAGGCAAGGTTCCTCCTAAAGTCTCAGGGTGTTTCGTTGTGTTTTGTTTTTAAATCCCAAAGATGAACATACCAACATCTACCTTATAAGATTGTTACAAAAATAAGAATGCCTAAAGACAAGCAAAGACAATGCCAGTATTTGTAAGGTTTGGGGGAAATGAGCACTTTCAAGTGTGTAAGCTGAAATAGTCTTTTTAGGGGCACCTGGCTGGCTCAGTCCGTAGAGCATGTTACTCTTGATCTTGGGGTTGTAAATTCAAGCCCCACATCGGGTGTGGAGATTACTTCAAAAAAATAAAATATTAAAAAAAAAAAGAAACAGTCTTTTTAAAGGACAACTGGCAATACTTTCTAAACCAACATTCTGCTTCTAGAAATTTATCCTAAGGAAATAATAGAGCAAGTATGCAAAAATATCTACTGAATAATTGTTTATAATGGCCTCAAACTAGAAAAATACTTAAAAATCCACCAACATGAAACTGGCTAAATAAATCATGGTACACATAATGGATACTATACATGTTAAAAAGGATAAGAAAGATCTTTATGTATTTAACATGAAAAGATATGGGTATATTCAGTGAAAATGGATTATTGAATAACGTGGATAATATTAATCCCACATACTTAAAAATACATATTTATGTGCATATACTTACACATATATATGCTTAAAAATAAGAGTCTAGAGGTATATAAATCAAATGTTAACAGTGGTCCTCTGATACTTGGGATTAAAAGGAAATTTCTCCTTTTCATTTTGTATTTAAGCAATCATGGATTAACAGAATAAAAAACCACACAAAATAATCTGTGTACTATGCCTATCTCAGGTTAAGGCACTTCGTAAGAGCTTAATAAATTGTAGTGATCATCATCATCCAACCAAATCTATTTGGAAGTCCAAATCAATACAAATGCTTTTTTCTTTACTAGCCCATAAACCAGGTCCAGGCAAAAGCAGGTCCCTAGCTCTCTGAAGGGTCCCCACCGGTGTTGGGAGCCTTACCCATCTCATCTGTGTCATGACATTTTTATTAATTTAAATTCAATTAGCCAACAGATAGTATATCATTAGTTTCAGAGGTAGAGTTTAGTAATTCATCAGCTGCATATAACACCCAGTATAATTACAATTAAGGAGAAACCTGCCATCAGGGTGCGCTATGGAAAGAACACCAACTGTTTTTCTTTCCTATCCAAATCTACCAGGTCTCCTGTTTTCCTTTTAAACAGCTTTCAGAATGCTAATTCTCACCACCATGTTTTGAGAAACATGCTGTCACTTCAGGAATAAATTCACTTCTTGGTAGCTTTTGCTGGAGAGCAGAAGACTAGGTAGGGAATGACAGGCATGAGCAGTACCATCTGGCGAATCTGGGCGAAATGCTTCTCAGTTTCTAGGTGCAGGCAGACAGCATGGAGGCTGACTCAGAAGATTTTGGCAAGGGGTCTGCCACACAAAGAAGGTTCCCAATGGGCCACTGCTCTACTGGGAACATTCACAATCGCCACTGCACGCGGGATGCACGCGGGACAAATTGCAAGCCCCTCAGGGAAGACTGAGCCCTCCTTCCCTGCCTACTGATCCCTGCCTCCAGAAGGGCTGAAGCACAGTCAGCTACAATACAGTATGAGACCGAGTCTCAGCCTTCACTTCAAGGAGGACGAGAGACAAGCAAAAGAAAAACACTTTTTGGGGCGCTTGGGTGGCTCAGTCAGCTCAGCTCATGATCCCAGGGCCCTGTGATCCAGCCCCACATAGGGCTCCCTGCTCAGCAAGAAGCCGCTTCTCCCTCTCCCACTCGCCCTGCTTGTGTTCCCTCTCTCGCTGTGTCTCTGTCAAATAAATAAATAAATAAATAAATAAATAAATAAATAATAAAATATTTTTTTAAAAAAGAAATACACTTTTTAAAAATGATGTTATGGGATCAACTGCTGATGTTTTAAGAGATAAGAGAGAGATCGTATGGGGTTGAAATGACTAGTTTTTTATTCTATTATTTTCTTTCTTTTTAGGAGTAAGGGGATGTCATCTGTAGAGATGTCCTCTGTAGATTTATTAAATGAGCTATAAGACAGGGACGCCTGGGTGGCTCAGTCGGTTAAGCGTCTGCCTTTGGCTCAGGTCATGATCCCAGGGTCCTGGGACTGAGTCCCACATCCCTGCTGAGCAGGGAGCCTGCTTCTCCCTCTGCCTGCCACTCCCCCTGCTTGTGCTCTCTTTGACAAATAAATAAATAAAATCATTTAAAAAAATGAGTTATAAAACAATATCCTAGTAACCTTTCTTCTTCCTGCTGCCAGACATTTGGTTTAACATGATTCATTATCACGGCTATATTAATGTTTAACATAGCCTGGTTATAGTTCCATTTCAGGAATAAATAGCACATCTCTTAAAAATATAGCCAAGATGATGAAGCTGATGGAGTAGGAGGTATTTACATTCAAATAAGCTAATTCATTAAATAATTAGAAATGCCAGTGGCTACATTTTAAGAATTTAAATGCTATTTATTTTGAGAGCTTAATCAGAACATGTAGATAAAGGAAATGGGCAACTCCAAAATGCAACAATATGTACTTGAGTTATCAAGCATTTATAAAGAATGAATATAAAGAAAAATTGGCCTTACTTTGAAGGTCAAGTTGTCCCACATTGAGTCTTTGTTCTTTACTTCTCCCATTCTGGAGCTTCAAATATAAAGAATAAGGTCATATCCCCTGTTAGTTTTTTTCAGAGGCACTTTATATCACATCTCTTTAAATATCTCAATAGAATCCTTACCAGGAAAAAAATAAAAGTATCACATTCACAGTTAAATTATCTAAAGAAGAATAGCAAGAGCAGTTAACTCCATAAATCCCATATTCTATAGCCAAAGAACAAGGCAACTCTTCTTTTTAAAAAGCGAAAATACAATGAACATGCAATATGCTAAATTAGCTTATTAGGATGTTTGAAAACAGCTCAATAAAGTCAGATGTTACGGTATTGTAGAGTTGCTATAATAGCTCCAAGTAGAACAAGCTGTTGGAACATCAGATTGACATTCTACCTGACCCTTTAACACAGAGGCAATGCACGGTATGATTAAGAATGAGAGTTCTAAAGTGTTGGCAAGGATGTGGAGAAAAAGGAACTCTTGGGCACTGTTGGTGGGAATGTAAATTTGTTCGGCCACTGTGGAAAACAGTATGGAGGAGGCTCGTCAAAAAGTTAAAAGGGCGCCTGGGTGGCTCAGTTGGTTAGGCGACTGCCTTCAGCTCAGGTCATGATCCTGGAGTCCCGGGATCGAGTCCCACATCGGGCTCCCTGCTCAGCAGGGAGTCTGCTTCTCCCTCTGACCCTCTTCCCTCTCGTGCTCTCTATCTCTCATTCTCTCTCTCAAATAAATAAATAAAATCTTTTAAAAAAAAGTTAAAAATAGAAATACTATTTAATCTAGTAATTCCACTACTGGATACTTATCCAAAGAATATAAAACACTAATTCAAAAAGATACATGTACCCCATGTTTATTGTAGAATTATTTACAAAAACCAAGATATGGAAGCAACCTAAGTGCCTGTCAATAAAGAACAGATATGGATAACATACGTATATATACCATACATATGTAACATATTATAAATATTGGAATATTATATATATGGACTATTATAGATCTGTAATGGAATATTATGCAGCCACAAAAAAGGATGAGACTGTGCCATTTGTGACAACATGGGCGGACCTAGAAAATATTATGCTAAGTGAAATAAGTCAGACGGAGAAAGACAAATACCACTCAGATGTGGAATCTTAAAAAAAAATTGAATAAACAAACAAAAAGCAGAATCAGACCTATAAATACAGAGAACAAACTGATGGTTGCCAGAGGGGAGGCGCGTGGGAGGATGGGCAAAATGGTTGAAGGCTTCCAGTTATGGAGTGAATAAGTCACAGGAATAAAAGGCACAGCATAAGGAATATAGTCAATGATATTAACTTGTACGGTGACAGATGGTTGTAGCTACACTTGTGGTAAACATAACATAATGTATAAACTTGTCAAACCACTATGTTGTACACCTGAAACTAAGGTAACATTTCTGTGGCAAATATACTCAAAAATAAAAAAAAAAAAGTGGGGAGTTCTAACCCAGAGAAACCTGGCTATGAATCCTGATTCTGCCACTAAGTGTGTAAACTTGAGCAAGTTGTTTAACCTCCATGTCTGTTTCTTTATCTTCAAAATGAGGATAATAATAGTAGTATCTTAATAATTTTTTGTGAAGAGTAAATGTACACAAAGCACTTAGCACAGTGCTAGCATATTATTGTTTTTCTATAACGTCTAGTTATTGTGTTTCTATAATGCCTAGCTGCACATAAGCCACATGTGGGCTTGGTTCTTAAATATCAGCTACCAAAAAAAAAAAAAAAAAGAAGAAGAAGAAAAAGAAAAATCGGCTACCAATTCTGAGGGCTAGAATGAAATTAATCAGAGAATGAAAGATTGAACCGACCCTTTCTCTTCTCAGATGACAGGTCCTTTGTAAGGTACATATACCACATACTGCCAACCATCTGATAGGTTCAGCTTTCAAATGACAGTCCTCCTCTGAGGCTATCCTAGCCAAAAGAGAGAAGTTACTCTTCATTAAGCTGTGTCTGTAGCTAAGTCTTTGTGTCCAAATTAAAGAAAAACATGTAACTTACATGTTTTTATCACTAATCGTAAGTGACTTAGCCAGAGGCTGACAATACTATACAGAATTTGGAACCCCACATGGATGTGCATTCACATTTACATAGCTATTAAAGAAACATAACATCAAATCAAAGCTAGATTTTAAAAAGCATTGTATTGCAGAGTGACACAACTTTTTTATTCTATAATATGTTGTGTCATGTGTCATTTAATGTCACTATAATTTTTAAAGCACTTTGCACTCTTGCATGAGTTAACATCCAGGTATTTACCTCCTAATTTTATGAGAAATTCGCTGAATCCATATGACACAGTGTCTGCTTACTAAACAAATTAATGATCAGGGTCATAGATCAATACAGCAAATTAAAGGAGAAATTTAAATACAGAGCACATGGGTTCCCAATAGCCTCATAGACAGTGAATATAATTACTTTCATCAACAAAATAGAAAGACAATAGTAAAAATATGGCAAGCTTTTAACCAAGAGTGACAGTATAATTTACATTAGATATACAATAGTAGGAAAAGCTCAGAAAATCTGGATCTGAATCCTAAGTCAATTTTGTTTCATGACCTAGTATCACAGAGATTCAGAAGGAAAAAAGGAAGTATCTTTGATTCTTTAAAAAAATGACAGATAAGCCATGGCATGACTGGTATGTAGCTTATTAAATATACCATGGTGTACAAGAAGGAGTGTGGACTGGGCCCAGTTCTGGTGTTCCGTAGAGGTGGGCAATCACCTGATGTACTTCAGGCCTAAATTTCCTTATTTGTTCAATGAGGGGGGTGGATAATATAATCCTTAATACCCATTTTAGCTCTGAAATTCTATTGCTCAGGGTTATCTCTCACAGCTCACATTCTTCATAAAACTATTTCTACTACAGGGGTAGTTAATGTTTTCCTCACACATGTTTATGAAAGCTTTTATAATTTAACCATGAAATTGCACTGTGACCTAAAGCCTGACTACAAATTCCACATATCTTTATGTGGATGAGGATATTATACTAGGATTAACTTCTCGAGATAAAAAACTAACCGAGAACAGGCAGCGCCATGGCGGTCGGCAAGAACAAGCGCCTTACGAAAGGCGGCAAAAAGGGAGCCAAGAAGAAAGTGGTTGATCCATTTTCTAAGAAAGATTGGTATGATGTGAAAGCACCAGCTATGTTCAATATAAGAAATATTGGAAAAACATTAGTCACAAGAACTCAAGGAACCAAAATCGCATCTGATGGCCTCAAGGGTCGGGTTTTTGAAGTGAGCCTTGCTGATTTGCGGAATGATGAAGTTGCATTTAGAAAATTCAAGCTAATTACTGAGGATGTTCAGGGCAAAAACTGCCTGACTAATTTCCATGGCATGGATCTTACCCGTGACAAAATGTGCTCCATGGTCAAAAAATGGCCGACCATGATCGAAGCTCATGTTGATGTCAAGACTACCGATGGTTATTTGCTTCGTCTATTTTGTGCTGGTTTTACTAAAAAACGCAACAATCAGATTCGGAAGACCTCTTATGCTCAGCACCAACAGGTCCGTCAAATTCGGAAAAAGATGATGGAAATCATGACCCGAGAGGTGCAAACAAATGACTTGAATGAAGTGGTCAATAAATTGATTCCAGACAGCATCGGAAAAGATATAGAAAAGGCTTGTCAGTCTATTTATCCACTTCATGATGTCTTCGTTAGAAAAGTAAAAATGCTGAAGAAGCCCAAGTTTGAATTGGGAAAGCTCATGGAGCTTCATGGTGAAGGTAGTAGTTCTGGAAAAGCTACTGGGGATGAGACCGGTGCTAAAGTTGAACAAGCTGATGGATATGAGCCACCAGTCCAAGAATCTGTTTAAAAGTCAGACATTTAATGGTGACAAATAAAAAAATCATATTTGTGATGTTTAAAAAAACAAAACAAAACAAAACAAAAACTAACCGAGAACAACTATGGTAATACTTTGCACCATTTAATAACACAACAACCAGAAATGACAATGTGATATTTATGGTCACAAATCACTCACTCAGTAATATAATTCAATAACAAAAACACTTCTGAAATCGTTAAAATAAACTCAATAACAAAATGCACAGAGAGGCAAATATAAGGATATTTATTGTGAATCATTGTAGTAACAAAAGACTGGAAATGATCTAAATGCACACACACAAGAAAGGGCTATACACAATGTGATACATCCAGAAAGTAGAACCATATGCATGCATTAAAAACAATGACTAAATAGAGGTGGTCCCAAATGATTCATATGGAACAATTTCCAAGAATTCTCAGCTCAGGACAATGGGCACAGTGTTCTACCATTTGCACAAAAAGAAAAAAACAAAAGTGAAATATGATATGTGCATAGGCTATCTCTGGATATTTACAGAAGAAAATGGTTAACAACAGCTGCCTGTGGGGAAAGGAACCGAGGTACGCAAAAACGTACTTTAAAAATTCTTTTAGTACATCTTGAAATTTTTGTTCATGAGTATGTCCTACTTATTTATATTTAAAAAGCTAAATTTTCTAAAGAACAAAAGAACAATGAAAAAAATGTTCAGTTGTATGTGTAGATACATAAACATGCATAGAAGAAAGACTAGAAGGAAATTTGCCAAGATATTAACAGTGTTTATCTTTAGATAGTAGGATAGAAGTGATTCATTTTCCATCTTTTATATTTCTTGTATTTTCCAAATTCTCTCAATGAACACAGGTTAGCTTTGTAATCATAAGAAGGTATACATATTTTTTCAAATGCACATTTCTATCACATTTTTTTCAGACATTAAATGAAGTACATGCTGTGAGAATATGTATATTTTTATCAAAGTTCTGAAACCGTTTCTGGAATTCTGTACATTTGCTCCAGACTCACCCTTAAGTTACATGAAGGATCCTTAAGACTCAAATTTGGGAATGATGCCTGGAGTGCATTTGTATAATTTGTCCCAGCTCCTTGAGCTGTAAGCAGAAGAAAGGTATTGACTTAAGATTTACAAGTTATTGTCAAATGAATAGTCAACAATGGCTCAGTTCAGAGTCAATCATCCATCTTCCAAAATACCCTAAACTTTACCTAACTACCTTACTAAATTCAAAATATCAGCTCAGATGATTCTCCCACTGTCATTAAGAAAGGACTAAAAATGCTACACCGACCCTTGATCTTTTATTGGTCATCTGGGGGGAGTGGGGGTCTGGAGATCCCTGGGTCTCAGTTATGCCCTTTAGGCTGTGGAGGCAGTGGACTGCTAACAGAGCCCATGCTGAGGCTGAGTCTAAAAGACAATGGGGGAAGGGTGGCATGAAACAGAAGGCCACTGTGAGTCTGGTTCCCTTTATGGAGGGAGCAAAGGTACCCTTTTCCATGAGGAGGTTTTGTGAAACTCAGGACACACAGGGCAGCTAGGGGATCCCAGTGACAGGACGCCACCCAGAGTTGGATGGGGGTCAGGCCCAAGACTGGAGCAAGACAGTAGGGCTCAGCATGCACTCAAAAGCCCTGCATGTCCACAATGCAGCCAGCCTGTGCAGAAAATGGGGGTGCAGACGATTTCCTGAAGGCTGGAATGTTAAGAACTTCTTCGCAGCGTTTTGCAGAGGGCTGAAGCTCTGTGATCATGGGTATGGGGTGATGAAGTCAGCAGATGTGGGATATGAAAGATGGAAAGGGATGTGATCTCTAACCACAGGCTCATGGGGGCTGTTGACACTCAGGTTCTGTTTCCTCCACTCATCCAACAAATGAGTCTTTACCAACTGAACCTAGGATACACAGGGTACTTTCCTTAGGCCACAGAGAGACCTACTTACCCAATTGCTTGTATTTCTGGATTTTTGTCTTCAGGTCTACTCTGTGGATGTTCTTCAGGCATTTTTCTAGTAATTCCAATTGATCTGGAGCAATCAGATTAAGTTTCTCTAATTCGATCACAAGATCTAGGAAACTCTGAGAGAGCAACCAACAAGAAAAAAATGTCAGTAAGGCTGACTCTTAAGCCCCAAATGCAAACCTCAGGCTGTGTGATTTGTAACCGCAAGAAAATGTGACAAGGGGAGCCCCTTCCATGATCTTCAGTGATCCTAAACCAGACCTCTCTGGTTTATAGTCCCTCCAAGGCCAGGAGCAAATTACACTCCTGGATTTTATTGAGAAAGAGGTGGTTAAGTCTTTTGGTGGACAACCTGTACCTAGGTTGGGGATAGACACATGGGCCATTTTATGTCATCAAGAAGTACCACAATCCATATATATAATGGACTATTACTCAGCCATCAGAAAGGATGAATGCCCAAGTTTTGCATCAACATGGATGGGAGTGGAGATTACCCTAAGTGAAATAAGTCAAGCAGAGAAAGTCAATTATCATATGGTTTCACTTATTTGTGGAACATAAGGAAGAGCATGGAGGACATTAGGAGAAGGAAGGGAAAAATGAAGGGGGGGAATCGGAGGGGGAGATGAACCATGAGACTATGGACTCTGGAAATCAAACTGAGGGTTTCAGAGGGGAGAGGGGTGGGGGGATGGGGTAGCCCGGTGTGGGTATGAAGGAGGGCACGTTCTGCATGGAGCCCTGGGTGTTATACGGAAACAATGCATCATGGAACGCTAGATCAAAAACTAATGATGTACTGTATGGTGACTAACAATATATAAAAAAAAAAAAAAGTACCATTTTTCCAAAAGGCCCAGCTGAAATTATACTGAAAAACTCTAAGGGCTTTCCTAAAAAGGGAAGAGAGAAGATAGCTGGGGGCAAGTTTCTATTAGAAAAATCCCAATGATGTAATTTTGAAGTTCCTAAAATATTTTAGTCAATGCTGGACATTCCAACTCATTCTGACTCAGGAGGTCTGAGGGGGTGAAATTTAAAAGTTAGGGTATATTGCTACTCACTTGCCCTGGACCAAAGAGATTAGGAAAGAACTACATTTCAGAAATAGGCTTTGCTTTGTGTTTTATTTCCCTTCGGTTTAACATTTGATTACTGAGGCTCTATTTTTTATTTTTTTTAAATAATCATCATCATGAAATTGATATAAATGACTGGCAGATAAGTTGATTTGGGGGCACCAAATAGAAGTTCTATTTTTTCATTTTCCTTCCCATTTGATGCATTTGATGGTTGGGGGGGGCATCCAGTCACCCTATCTGCCTAGATTTCAGGAACCAAACTCCAGTGATTAAAGAACAAGAGGAAATTCTCAAGCAACACCTTACCAGAGTCCTCAAGGGCAGGTCCTTTAAGAACATATTGTCATAATCTAGAGACCTGAGGCTTTCCTGGCCCGTCCTTAGGCCAGCAGTATCACACGGGGCCAGGAGGAATTTAAATACTTTGCCAGCAATTACAACATCCCTGAGATCTTGACTGCTACCTATCTTCCAACCTTGAATCTCTGTTTTTGCCATTCCCTGGATACATGAGTCACAAGTACCTTCCCCCACCTCATCTCCACATGGAGCCTAATGACTTCACACTGGCCTTGAGCTAGCTGAGGGGAAAATAGATGCCGTCGGGAGTGGACGCGTACTTCCCACCTGTCTGCCCTCAGTGTGAGCAGATGGGACTTCCAAACCCTCCCAGATGGTCTGTCAAATGGGGGAGAGAAACTGATACCTAAATCAGGCCTCTGACTTTTACAGAAATAAGAATAAAATACAAGGATGAGAGAAATACCCAGGGCCACCCTATTTCCTCTCAACTGAGAAACCAATCTCTTCTTATCAATGTTATTAAGAAACAGACCTTTCTCTTCTCACTTCCTATCTTCACCCCCAGCTTGGGCCTCCCTATTCAAGGCCCCACAGCCCTCTCTTCACACCCTAGAGAGCACCCTCCACCTTCTGATAGGCTCTTGGGAACATGAACCAAGAAAAAGAAAACTCACCTTATCCTTGGCTACCTTTTTTCGACCAGTATAATCCCTCATGAGGAAAAATAATGAGGACAGATCAGATTTTTCCAAATTACCACCAATTTCTGTCATCAGCACCCTGTAAACAGGCAAGTTATTTTTAGTAAATTCAGATACCATCCTAG